GTTTGGCAGGTCCGGGCTGGGGATTCGAACCTGCCACCTTAGGTGTACGTGGCTGGCGCCCTAGCTGGTTGAGCTATAGGCGTCGAGCCGAGAGGTGATTCTTAATTCTTACAAAACTTGCTGTTCAGGTTTTTGTTATCTGCGTTGTATGGAGCCTTTGAAAAGCATATGGCAGCATTGCGGTCACAGTTGCAAATGAAGGCCTGGCAGTCTTTGTTCTTGCCTGGAAAGGGACAAAAAAAGAGGACTGAGACAAAGTGGACCCTGCTATGTACAATCCAGAAGCAGAAAGAATTAATTGGAATAAGCTGGTGTCCACATTTAAGCTTGACAGATTAAGTAAGTAAAAATACATCAGGATGCCTCATTAAATTTGGCATTTAGATAAACAATGAATGCAATATTGGGGACATATAGCAAACAATGATTTGGTCAAATTTAACTACATGTTTTAAATGGTGGTCATAGGTGTGATTTTCCTGACTTTTGGAAAGTCTTGTCTATTCACACCACTAAATGAACTCATTTATTTTATTTTATTTTATTTATTTATTTTTTGGCTGGGGCTGGGTTGGAACCCAACACCTCTGGCATGTGGGGCTGGCACCCTACCCTTTTGAGCCACAGGTGCCACCCCTGAACTTTCTGATTTAAAAACCCATATAACTAAAGATCTCTGACAGCATAGGGAAGTAATTGTAAATCCAATGGAAAACATTAAAACATATACTCAAGGCAGAAAACTATTGTACATTTCAATTTAGTGAAGTTTGGTAAGCCAGTTTCTCTACTTTATTCTTTTATTTATTTTTTATATTTTAGAGACAGAATCTCATTTTCTCATTTAAAAAAAAATTTTTTTTGAGACAAAGTCTCCCTTTGTTGCTCTTAGTAGAGTGCTGTGGCATCACAGCTCACAGCAACCTCCTGTTCTTGGGCTTAGACAATTCTCTTGCCTTAGCCTCCCGAGTAGCTGGGACTATAGGTGCCCGCCACAACACCTGGCTATTTTTTGTTGTTGTTGCAGTTTGGCTGGGGCTGGGTTTGAACCTGCCACCCTTGGTATATGGGGCTGGCGCCCTACTCACTGAGCCACAGGCACTGCCCCAGTTTCTCTACTTTAAAACACATTTTATAATCTCAGCACTTGGGAGGCTGAGGCAGGTGGATTGCCTGAGCTCACAGGTTTGAGACCAGCCTGAGCCAGAGCAGGACCCGGTCTCTAAAAAATATTTTGGTGTTGAGGCGGGCGCCTGTAGTCCCAGCTACTTCGGAGGCTGAGGCAAGAGAATCGCTTGTGCCCAAGAGTTGGAGGTTACTGTGAGCTGTGACACCACAGCACTCTACTGAGAGCAACAAAGGGAGACTTTGTCTCAAAAAAAAAAA